ACGGGGCAAGCCAGCTCGCCCCCGCCCGGGTTCTCACCTCTCCCGAGCGGAGTGGCCCTCGGTGTTTTGGTGAGCACCACCACTCCCAGGCAGATTGGTTACCCCCGATGCTACGATGGTGTTTTTCATGCCGAAACACTCATGGTGTTCGACGAATACGGCCACAGGTTTCCCCGTGCACGTAGGGCTTCGAGGCATGGAAACTCGCCATGCCTGCTGCTTTTGACCAGTCGCCCCCGAAAACCCCCCTAAATTCGTTAAATCTTATGTATACCCTTGAATTCTCATTTTTTGCTCTGAAATGCCTCGATCAGCTAGTTCTATCCGTAACAAGTGGGCTACTGAGAAATAATTTTTAATTAGTAAAAATCTAGAATAAAGTTTGTAAATATTATATTACATTATTCTATTATGTTACGTAGTAAAATATTATTTATAATATAAGCGTGTATATTAACATTACAGTCAGGATTAGTAATAAAAACTAAAACAAATGTATCTATAAAAGTTCTACCATGATGTTACCTGCATAACAAATTGGAACCCACTTACCTTATTACAGATTAACTGGAAAATGGTGATAGCTGCGTTACACTGTTCCAAAACAAAAATTTCCAACTTACAATAATTTAGGAGATTATGACAATTATAATAAAATTTCCTTATTAGTTCATACCAAGTACAATACTAACAATAATAATATAATTTATTTGAATTCTATATTACCCAAAGTAACTTTTTATTTAATTATTTATTTATTTAATAATATAACAAATTAAATATTCTCGAGGTAGCATTGATAAGATTTTTTATCGATCTTAAGAATTCGAAAATAAAAATTTACTATCTCTTCGATTTTTACACTTTGTAAAAGATATATTTTAAGATACGCTTAAAGATATGTAACCGTTTACAAACATTCATTTTTAAGTTATAATCATTTTTAACAAATGACGATTTTTGTAAAACGGCAATCTAAAGACTAAAATAAAAAATAATATTTTTTGATTTGTCAGTGATTACATGTAAAATGATGAAGCGAGTAAAAATTTTGTTTCCCTAAATATGTTTGTGGCAACATTTGTTAGCGCTGTCAAATACAAAAACGAACATGGAAAGAATTGAACTGAACATAGAGAATATTAACACATAACGAACCAGTTATGGTAAATCTAAAATTGAAATAAAAGTTTATAATCGATTATTTACGAAGTCGTGCGATATTTAAAATTTCGATGTAAACAAACTTGAAACATAATATAAATATTGCATTAGAAAAATATATGTCGTGACAAATTTTGTATTTACCAAAAATAACATATTTAAAGTGTTCTTTTTTAATGCAGTTATCCTTTCATTATAATCGATAAGTACTAATTAGCAGTATTTTAAAAGCGAGTAATAATAACACTAGCAGTCTTAAATAAAATACTCCTAATTCTTATAGAAAGTATATGGTAGAAAATCAAACACAAAATTTGTAATATTATTTCCATTAATCAGAAATCTAAGATACCTCTACAAAATATATCAATTTAAAATTCTTTACATTTCGGATAAAACATCGAGGTGCGATCATTTCTGGTTAAATTATGAAATATAAATTGAACCGACATTGACAAGTAGAATTAACGACTGATTGCGATTCTCATAGCAATGACTTCTCAATAATTAAGTACTGAACAGTAATTCATACAAATTAAATGCTTGAAATTCTGAAAGAAGAATGGCGATGGAATGGCAATTTCATAAGGTTATCGACAAAGTTCAATTTATTTTCCTCAATGACGAATGTTATTTTTCAAAATAGTGTGAAGGAACATGTACGCAGAGAAAATAGAAGGATACGCAGGATGGGCACTAAAATACGTCTTACGACCATCGAAATACAATTTCTTCACATTTTACAAAACACTTACGAACGTACCAACGTTCGCGTCTTTTTTCTTCGCCCGCGTCACAAATAACTTCGAACGATTAACCACCGTTCGAAAAGAAAAAGAAATAAAGAAAGAAAAATCTACGAGTCTGCCAAATTACGGAGAATATTGTACGTTTAGAAAATAATACCGTGTCATCTAAATAGCTCATCGTCACTTGCTCTGATTAAATCTGCCTTTGGATGGTCGCCTGTGCGACTGGCTCGACACAGCCAGTAAATTCTCCTCGAAAGTATCTACCGTGAAGTCCTGTTCCTTCAACAATTTCGGGAGTATCCTACTCGTCTGGCTATTTCGTCTGATTAGGCTAACAGGATTCCTAGACAACGACACTATGCCGTTTCTGACATGAGATTTCCTCTTCTGGTTTGTTATCCGCTTCAAGGAGGCTGGTCTCGCCGGTGCAGGCTGCGGCGGAGGAGGTGGTGGCATCTTTGGGGGCGGTAATCGAGCCGGTGGACAAGGAGGTGGTAACCTGGTACCGCCACCAGGGGTCCTCGATGGACACGGCGGTGGGAAACATGGAATAGGGAATCCTGGTCTAGGTGGTGGTGGTGGCATGGCTGGTCTCGGTGGTGGCCCGTACCTGAACGGCCTTGGGCCGTAAAGTGGTGGAGGACCTGCTGGTGGTGGAATCGATGGCAAACCTGGAGGACGGAATCCTGGCGGAGGACCGCCATAACCAAAATGTGGCGGTGAAAATGGACCGTCTTTTACGAAGTCGCGTCTTGGTGGCACAAAACCGGGCGGCCCCATTGTGTACGGTGGCCTGGATTGGTACCTCAAACGCATCGCTCTCTTACTTATTACCTCGGATGAGGTAGGATTCGATACAGTATTCTTCGAAGTGTCAATTTTCGTACGTGGTGTTCTCTTCAGCGCGCTTATGTATATTTCACGCTCAATGGGGTAACCACGAGCCTCTTCGAACGCTGCAACAAACATGAAATGCACGCTTGGATGAAAAATACGGCTGGAAATTGTAATCCTTCGTTAATTTCTCCCTAGTATGACTTGGGGATCAGAAATCGTACAGTCAGCGAGATTTCCATAGTTCCATGTCGCATTTATGTAGTTGAAATTTCGGATAATTTGTAAACATTGAACTCATTCTATTTGTTATTGTAATTAAATATCACGGTAATTGAATGGATTAAGTGGATTATGAAGACCTTTATTTAGATTTAAAATAAAATGTATATATCTATACATTAAAAATTCTCTTGAAAAATATGTTAAAGGTAAATGATATTTCGTCAACACGTTATTTCTCCATTCTTTCGTCTTGAAAATTATTATCCACGTACTCGCCATCTTCAACTTGAATGTAGAAAATGTCAATAATTATTGTTTTAATACTAAGACAGACAAAGAATGTTCAAATGTTAGAGATATTTTTTATTTGGTGATCACTGTTAGACTGATTGGATTTGGAAATTAACTCAAAATTCAATAATGGTGAAAATATCAGCTAAGTGTGATACACGATATTAAAATATAATGGGTTAACAATACGTTGAAATACTTATCATTTTCCTCTTAAAATTAATACACTGATGAATTGGTAGAATTATACCAATAGAAAATAAAAAATCTTAGATCTGCATGAAATGCAAAACTCAGATAAAAAAATTCATGAGCATTTCCGCAACCACATATTTTAACAACTTTGTTATCAGCTACATTGAATAAATCAGTGTCATTTTAGGAACATAAATCTAAATTCTCCGAATTAATTTACTTAATTTAATTTTTTAATTTTAATCTTATCTCACCTAAGACAGAAATACTAAAACTCCCGTAATACGTCTTGGTGGCACAAAACCGGGCGGCCCCATTGTGTACGGTGGCCTGGATTGGTACCTCAAACGCATCGCTCTCTTACTTATTACCTCGGATGAGGTAGGATTCGATACAGTATTCTTCGAAGTGTCAATTTTCGTACGTGGTGTTCTCTTCAGCGCGCTTATGTATATTTCACGCTCAATGGGGTAACCACGAGCCTCTTCGAACGCTGCAACAAACATGAAATGCACGCTTGGATGAAAAATACGGCTGGAAATTGTAATCCTTCGTTAATTTCTCCCTAGTATGACTTGGGGATCAGAAATCGTACAGTCAGCGAGATTTCCATAGTTCCATGTCGCATTTATGTAGTTGAAATTTCGGATAATTTGTAAACATTGAACTCATTCTATTTGTTATTGTAATTAAATATCACGGTAATTGAATGGATTAAGTGGATTATGAAGACCTTTATTTAGATTTAAAATAAAATGTATATATCTATACATTAAAAATTCTCTTGAAAAATATGTTAAAGGTAAATGATATTTCGTCAACACGTTATTTCTCCATTCTTTCGTCTTGAAAATTATTATCCACGTACTCGCCATCTTCAACTTGAATGTAGAAAATGTCAATAATTATTGTTTTAATACTAAGACAGACAAAGAATGTTCAAATGTTAGAGATATTTTTTATTTGGTGATCACTGTTAGACTGATTGGATTTGGAAATTAACTCAAAATTCAATAATGGTGAAAATATCAGCTAAGTGTGATACACGATATTAAAATATAATGGGTTAACAATACGTTGAAATACTTATCATTTTCCTCTTAAAATTAATACACTGATGAATTGGTAGAATTATACCAATAGAAAATAAAAAATCTTAGATCTGCATGAAATGCAAAACTCAGATAAAAAAATTCATGAGCATTTCCGCAACCACATATTTTAACAACTTTGTTATCAGCTACATTGAATAAATCAGTGTCATTTTAGGAACATAAATCTAAATTCTCCGAATTAATTTACTTAATTTAATTTTTTAATTTTAATCTTATCTCACCTAAGACAGAAATACTAAAACTCCCGTAATACATTTATTTTATGAAGAAAATGAAAAATTTGCAACCCGAAAAACGCTGGAAAAGTTGGTTTTGGAATTTTGTGACTATGGCGCACTTTATCAAAAAATCTTAAAATGATAGAAGATAATAGTTATGTCAATATCTTTCTACTATAAAAAGAAGTAAGTTGTGGAAATTCTTTTTACGAAATCTGTATTTGTTGACAAATTTTCACAATTTTTCATTTGTTGTTCCTTAAATTTACAACGCAAAAAATCTCAAAAAATTCTATAATATACTTTACTATATTTACAATATTCCTTAATTTTTTCGGAATTCTTGCATGTCATTAAATAAGGAAAATTAAGTGAAACTTGATAATCTGGACTTCAGTCACAACTACCCTCTGGAATGGGATATTGTGTTGAAGCTCCGTTCTTACATAAATAAATGATATAAAAAAGGGTTGAAATTAAGGTACCGACATTGTACGTCGAATTTACAATACAACTTCAAATATTGCAATAATAAAGAAACGAAATACAAAACTCGGATATTAATAACGTAAATTAACTAAAACTGCAAGAGGAATGCAACATCTCATTGTCAGTTGGTAACAATTAGAAACTGAATCGATACTAATAAAGAATATGTAAAATTTATAGTGGAAGTACGGAAATTTCGCTGACTGTATCAAACAAGGAAAAGCCGTAGCTGTGGGGTTATCGGTTTTAATAAAAAATTTTCTAGAAAATCTAGATCTAAAATAAGCAAACTGACGCCCGAAGATGCTGTCCAATACACGTTATTTGGAAATATATTTAACATTTAAAACTTTTTTTTCCAAAGTCAATATTTTCAGTGATATAGAGTACAAATTTTCAAATTTTAGAGCAGGTGGAGGCGAATAAGTCGATGAAAGTCCTCTTAGAGATTTATTTTTCTAAATAAGGTCAAACCTTAATTAAAATTTCAGCATAATCGGGGGTTGCAGCTTTTCTGAACTTTCTCCTTATTTTTTTATTACTATTACTTATAAGAGTTAAAAATGTATTCGTTTACAAAATTGAAAAAGGCATCCGCAAGAATGGAATAATTTCATGTTTACGATTATTTATTTGAACGTTTAATAAGTTTATTAAAGAAACATCTCGTTATAAAAAATCGCTTTTTGAATTCTAAGAAATATTGTTACAGATATATTTTCCAGATACAAAAAGTAAACATCGGAGACTATCGAAAGGGATGAACTAAGCGTAAAATGTCATTCTGCTCTTAATTTGATACCAAAATGACAAATGGTACATTCTATAACAACGGTAACTATACTCTAAACTTATAACGTGTTATTATGTCGTTACGATACATCAGAAAATAAAATGTATTATTAATTAATTTCTATCCCAAAAACATCTAGTGAACCACTAATGATATCAGTTAAAACATTGAAAAATTATACCAATTTAAACTTTCAATTTCATTTAATTTAACTATATTTCAATTTAAGCTTTAAACAATAAAAATTAATTGCACATTTTTTTCAAATGTCCAGTTACTTATTTTGGTCCTCCTTAAACTTTTATATAATTTCATTAAAAAAAATATTATATACACGTTAAAATTGTAGTAAATATGTTACCGTGAAAGACCGAAATTGGAGAATGTCGACATTTAACGGTGAATGTCGACATATACCAAATACGTCGGTGAAAGACCAAATATTTTATTACATTCTTGTACATTCGGACCTTCACCGGTGTATGTCGACAATCACACATATGCTCTGGTGGAGATCTAAAAGAGAGGAGTCGACAAAGAAGCGACTGGCTCTCTCCCGCCAAATCCTGTGTTCTGCTGGGAGTTAGTCAGCTTTGTCAATCTTATGCAAGCTTTGATAATGCGAACAACGTTTTCTTAATTTTTCTTTCCAATACCGTAATTTATACTGAATGAATACTGCAGCAAATCGTGATCATTTTCTTGAAAAGTTAAATGCATTAATTGCGGGTAAACGAGAAGACAATTGTTTTTATTTTTCTCAAGAAAAGTACTCTAAAATACTTTCTGAAATGGTTTCTGCTAAAACTAAGTGCAACACACCTTTGGATTACAGACGATTAAAACGTTTTGACGTTTTAAAAATTGATGATGAAAAGAAATTAATTGTACCATTAAAATCAGGGGAAACGAATATACAGTATTATGTTACCAATGAAAAATTGTTCAGTATACTATATGAAACTCACGCCAGAATAGGTCACGGAGGAAGAACACGTATGCTTAGGATGTACTATGTGTTTTAAATTCTTGGTCTCTCCTCTCAGAAAGAGAAGCGAAAAAGTTACGTCATCCTTGTGACGTTTTATAGCGACTGAATTACGGAGAAGAAAATATAAATCTCCGACATGTTCAACATTCACCATTAGTGCATGGTGAATGTCGACATTTACCGGTGTAAGTCAGAAATAAGGGTATTTAGCAAATATTTCGGACAATGTGAACTCACTGGTGAATGTCGACATTCACCAGATTTCGGTCTTTCACGGTAACAAATATACAAAATATGATTTTGCAAATCTGTCAATTGAGAATTCTGACTAGTGGGCATTTCATATAAACATATCAACCTTTTAATTTATGATAAGCATAATCAGTAGGTGCATATTTATCATTCTTTCATGTTCTTTCAGTGAACGTATTTGCTATTTTCATATAAGTAATATTGTTCGTGTGTGCATACTTTTTTTTTACAAAATAAAGAATTTTTAAAACCACGAAATATATTTTAAAATAATTTTTAACTCTAGATTTACAGACATTTAATGAACACTCAAATTGAAACTAAAATATAAAAATAAATAAATAATGGATAACACATAATTTTTTATCTCGACAAAAGGTTAACATACGTTTTGACAAAAACTTTTTAATAACTTGTAATTTAAAATAAGAAATCTAAGATCAGTCGTCTTCAGCAAATTCAGTAAATCAAAGTTTAGAAAATTTCTTAATAGAATTACTTATTAGTCTTCTTTCAATGAATTAAATATGGAATTCAATTATTAACCTAACTTTAACACACATTCGTAATCAAATAGATATAAATCACCATTATATGATAACATTATACACTGTCATACATACTAATAAACGCAAAATTATTCTATAATTACTTACCAAATCATTGATGTATTAATATGATTTTTTGTAGTTTTGATATCACAATTTGTAAGGTTATCTTGCACATATAAAACATTGACTCAAAATATACTTAACCAGGATATGTTTTAGAGGTGTTGTTATCGATTATCGATATATTATCGATTATCGATATATTATCGATATCTTATTCTTCGATAAATTAATTTAAATTATTGCATTTGATTTTAATATAAATTTGAAATGAAATAATCTTTTATATGAGCTTAAACAATATTGTACAGTTAGTTCTCACGATAGTAAAAACTAATGTATTTTTATTTAATGTTAACAGAAAAATTCAATAACTTATATTAAGTTATTGAATTCAGCTGTAGATATTCGCTCGTTTAATATATCAGCAACACGAAGCAACTTAATATTTATAATAAAAAAACATGTGCACTTTTAAATCACCTACCTTTTAAACAGTCATCAACTTTCCAACCTAACTGCTGTACTAGATATCTGCAATAAAGCATACGAACATTGCAGATTTATGTAATCAATTTCATTGTCAATTATTAATTCAGTAATTTTAAACAACTTTGGATAATGTATCAATTGTATATATGTACGCAAACATGATATTTAAAAATATTTTAAGTATTCCTTTATTTTTCGTATTAGTGTTACAGTAAAATGTACTAACCTGCAAATTAGATACCCAGAACGATTAACACCATGTGTGCAGTGAACACCCACAAGATCCTCTGAAACAAAAAAAGAAGCAACTTCTAATTTGTAATGAATCGTATACTGACGACATTAAATAAAGATTTGGAGAACCACTTATTAAAAAAGAAGCTTTTATAACGTTAATAAATTGTACAGAAATACACAAACATAATCTATTATACTAAAAAAAATATGTATACGAATGGAAAAAAATTCATTTAAATTTAATTCGAAGAGAACATTTTATGATAATCACCCTTGAAGTACAGCAACTTATAAATTTTCGTGTTTCTTAAGAACTATAAAATGTTTACATTCTTTTTATCTTTTTTATTAGTTTAAGTAAATTTAAACTTATTTTTGTTAAGTCCTTTGAATGTTAAAAATACAGATTAATATCTTAATAATTCGATTTTGTAAAACGCAGTAAAAAATTAAAAAGTTGCGGAGAAAAAGGTAAGGTTTCTTGCTAAATAACGTAAAGTATAAAATATGGCAATATCTATTGTCATTCTGGTAGCAATAGAGGTACTGATACATTCACAATTTATAATAAAAAAAAAATATCGATACATAATACATCAACAAACAAAATATCAATAAATGATTGTAATAGAATTTAACCCCTTGCCTTATGATTTATTTGCCAGGTGCGTTGATAGGAATTAACTAATCATAGTTACAATTTTAACCCTTAACAATCACACTTCATCAGACTAACATATCTGTCACTGGGACGTATAAAACCTCTGTCACTAAAAATGTTTCTTACAAAGAAGCTACTCATTATTTTAAAATGAAAAAAAAAATTATAAATAATTTTTAAAACTTATTTTAACATATTTTTACATATTGTTTTAACAGAAACGTGAAAGAGTTGAAAAAATATTGATTTTCACAGAAAAATTCATATTTTTTCGGATTAAACCCCTTGCACTATTTTGACGAATCTGACTCGTGACGCACTCGTACCTCGGCCGTGATCATTTTCACTTAAATTTTTAATACGCTTCAATTTGGAGTTCAAGTCCAATTATAAGTTGCATAGTCAACGACTGAATAATAACATATTGACATAACATTTCAATTTTCTTTATTTGTTTTAATTTTGTAGCTATAATTACTCAGTTCTGACTGACGCACCTGAAAATTAAGTCATAGGGTAACGGGTTAATATAAAGTGGCTAAAATTGGAGCTAAATTGGCTAGAGTTCTTTTATATCCTAATGTAAGCGTCAGGGGTTAAAACAGAAAGAAAATTGAAATGTTATATCAATTTTTTATTCAGCAATACTTAACTACGCAAATTATAATTGAACTTCAAACTGAAGCGTACTAAAAATTAGAATATTTGTCACTGAAGCGTAAATCCGTCGTACATGGGAAATGATATTGAAGGGCAACGAATTAATTTATTTATGTTATATGTATGAATGTCTATGAATAATAACATTTTGATGAATTTTCACATTGCTGATAGATGAAATGAAAACCAAATAGAAATTTTATAATTTATAATCACACCCTCCTTGCGAAAAATTAATTCATTTCATATGTATGATATATTTTATGTTCATTGCCAATAAATTAACAGCACTAATAAATTAGATTTATAATTTCAAGAATGAAGACATTTATCAAATTCGTGAAACTTATGGTATTTTAGGTTACGAATTCTACTCAGCAAAACTTGTAAGCAAGTTACTATTAAGTATGTATAATTCCAAAATTTAAGTGCACTGGCATTCAACAACAAGGTGTTAGACATCAATGAGGATTTTCGATGAATTATAAATTTTGTAAATTTTGGGATTTGGTGGTTAAAAACCTAAAATTATGGGAACGGGGAGATTTTACAATTTAATAAATTGGTAATTCAAAAATTTCGAAAACTACTGGCTTTCAAAGTTAATCTAATAATTTAGAGATTGGGGTTTTAAGAATTAGAAAATTTGAGAATTTAGAAATTTACAAATTTTGAAACACTGAGGCAATGTGAAAATGTGGTAATTTCAGTATTTTTCAATCTCAAGTTACAAAAATCTGAAAATTTTGGAATTTAAGAATTTGACAATTTGGAAATTTAAATATATATATACATAAAAATTTACAGGTTTTCAAAGTACATATTTTCCAATTTGTAAGTTTAAAAATTAAAAAATTTCAAACATTAAAGTCACTGTCTTTCTAATGAAGAGAAAAATTAAGTCGATCTATCCAATCCTTTCTTTGCAAATCCTTGAAAAATCTCTACTATCTGTACGACAAAAGTTGCTATGCATGCTCTTTAATGTTACATTTTTAAATTCTTTACAACAAGTACACGCGTGTGAACAAAATCCAATAAAAGCAGCAAACATAAGGCGAGACGTTCGATTCCATGGGTCATCAATTTAACCCGAAACGCAGGGTCGGTACCTCTTCAAGCTCAGCAAGGGGCTGATTATAATATTACCGCAAATTACCGGCAAAAACTGCGACGAATTCGGAGCACACGGTGACCTTTTATAACCCTTTAGGCCGTAATGAAAGTAGTCGCGTAATAACGATCGTCACAACCCTATCACCTCCTTTCTTCTTCAATCGCTTTCTCCGTATTTCCCTTTTCGGATAAGTGTCGAATACTTTGGAGCCACTTCGTACAGTCAACAGCAAATTCCCTACGGAAAATGTGATAACGAAAGGGAAAGAGGTATGGCGTTCATTGATATTTAGAGATTACTGACGATTTGAAACTTTGATATGGGTAAGGAATTAGGAGATCTACATTAGGAGATCCAGTTATTCTGGTAATCTAAGAATTTAGTAATCCAGGGATTCGAGAATGTGAAAATTGGAGGATTTATAGTTTCGTGAGTTCAAGAATTTGGGAATGTGGGAATTTGAAAATATAGGGATTTGGGAAGGTAGACATTTGGAAATTCAGAGATTTAGGAGTCTATAGAATTAGGATTCCAAACGTTTTTTGATCTAGGAATTTAGGAATCTAGGAGATCGAGTATTTTAGGATTTGGGAATGCAGTAACTTTAGGGAGTCAAAAATTTGGAAGTCTAAGGAACTCAGAAGTGAAGGAATCAAATATCTAGAGACTGTGTACTTTTAGAACTTGCCGATTCAGAAATTCCCTAATCTAGAAATGTAGTGATCTAAGGATATAGGGAATTTGATACGTAGAAATATAGGAATATGGGATTATGAAATGTAGGAATGTGAGAATTTGAAGAATTTAAGAAATTAAAAATTTCAAAATTTTTAGTCATTTCTAACGAAAATTAAAAAATTTGTAAATGCAAAAATTTAGTAATGTGGAAATCTGAGTACTAGAGAATCAGATGTTTGAAAAATTAGGATCAAGAAAAGTGTTTGGAGATTTGGAAAATTTGAGACTTCATAAATTTGAAAATTTAAACATTTGAGACATTGAAAACTTGAAAATGCAGAAATTATGAAACATGAAAATTTGCGAATTTAAAAATTGTGAAGTTTATATACGTGATTTTATACTAAAGGCTACATTGTACTCGAGTGTACCTCTTTACCTCATCGTGAATTAAGTGGCCAATCGCAGATCACGCGATAATTTTGTTTGACCTTCGCAAGCCTCTGAAGAGGATCGTTCACACAAATGCGATGCGATTTACACGGAGAAAAGAAAATTGCATATTTTGTTACCCCTGTAAGAAAGTGTATTTATCGATATTTCGGGGATAATGATACTTTCTTTTTAATGAAAGTGATTTAGTAAAACGAAATCGAACATTTAGTAACATTTATTTAATAACATCTTGGGAATTAAAAATTAGGGAAATATAATCAAATAACTTTAAATTTGACTAATATTATGTACATAAAACATACCAGTTTTTACATGGTAGAATAATCTTATTATTAGATATAGAAGAATACGATCGTTTAAAAATAGTCTTTCATTAATTTATAAGGATTTTTAATAAAGCATTGTTTATCAGATGTTGGTCCTTCTTATATTTCTAAATAAATCCATTTTCCAATGCAAAATTGAAAATATACAGAATAATTATTAATCAAAAATACGTTTAGTATTATGTTGCATTTAATCACAAATTAACCACAAATTTCAACTCAGTTTTAACAAATTATAACATGAAGTTACATATTTTATTTTTATAAAACTTATTACTTTACAAGTACGGTGTATTTAATCCATTTGTGAACCCTAAACAAGGATTTAAATATAATATATGTATATTATTTTATCACATGCAATAACATTATATTAGATAACATGTGTATAACGTGTGTATTTTTACATTCTAGTTTTTAAAATTATTTTTTGTTTCAATGATGCCTAAAAATTTGATATATCTTTAGAACCCATGCGGTAAAAATATCTTTTGATCCTTAAAATTTGGCTGTTAATGAGTTAATAACATATCTTCTTAAATTTTGTATTGTATCTATTAAATGACACCTTAACATCAGAATAATCACTGGAATATTTTTAATTTCTATGTTATACGATTTTAGCTAGCAGATTGCATTATTTGTCACGTTTAATTATTGCGATGCATTAATCTACGAATTTTCTGCAGGATCATATCCTTTGAAAAGCGAATCATTTGTACATATTCTTACTAAAAATACGATCTTTGAATAAATTAAACTGATAAATTAGAAACAAATAGAAAAATAGCACATACATTCAAAGAGAACGAACCGGGATATGTAATAAACGTAGAATAATGTAAGATTCTTCGTTTTGGAGATGCAGACAGAGCAAGGCTTATTCCACGTTCCTATCTATCACAGGGTCATCTCGCTTTTACATACGAAGAAACATACATCTTGCAGAAGACAGGAATATTCTTGGAACACGTCAGCATCTAATGTGGATCTAGAACGAGCTTCCCGCAGAGCAGCAACATAGTAAGCTTGGAAAATAAGCCGATCCTCAAAGAGATTAGCGCAGTCTTATGACCTTCTTGATGTACTGTATCGACTTTCGCCGACGGTTAAATATCGACTAATACATCTTTTCGTTACCTTCATATCAAACCTCTGACGTCTAATTAATATCTGTTAAATTAATATCTAGTTAATATCTCATATGATCATTAGAAATAATTACTCGTAGGATGTACACATGATACTTCATAGTAAAGCTAATGGTATTGTATTTAACAAGTATTATTTATTTACGGGGAAAATCTTTGTATCGAAAGAAATATAATATAAAGGAAAATTAAACATGTTCTAGTTTTAAAATCGCTCAAGAAGACACGAATTACAGTTTAAGTAAATATAATGTGTAAACGTATGTATATATTTCTGCTCTATATTTTTTCTAACAATTTGATTATTATTAGTCAATTTAAATGACAAAGATTTAACTTTAGTAATTAACTTGTATTATTAGTTATTTTAAGAATTTGATTTAATAGCAATGCTTTACTATTAACACTAGTTATGGCCATGGATAATTATAAAAATTTGCCATCTACATCAACTCATCACTAACATTTTATAAGCATAAAAGTAACTTCTTTTAATTTCTGTATAATAATTTTAACCAATATCTTACTATGTTTAACTAAAATTTTGTTTATGTTTTCCTGAAATAGTATTAATTTTTACTAAATATATGCTGTTGTTTTGAATATCAACAGACTATAATGTATAAATACATTCAAATTACTGCTATAACTAAATCTCACAAAGTGACACCGGTTTTGGTTAAACCGAATGTATTAAACAATATTGTACATTTGAGTACTTTACTAGCGACATCTCTTATAAACACATTATTACCAGCTACCTAATTTATTATTATGAAAAGTGTTATATTTTCTCGAAAGTACAATAACAATTTAATACAACGCAAAAAATTTCAAAGGGTTAAAATAAAAATACTAAAATACATCGTTAAAAAAGTTAAAAATTACTTCCGATACATCATTTCAATAAAACGTTTACATCAACAGAATTCGTGCGTACCGACAACTAATGTAAACAAGAAACGAAGTTACAATATATTATAGAAAGGAAGATTCCACGATATATCGACTAGTATTTATTTTACGACAATTATTACGTCTGTCCCAGGTTTCTGCAGCATTACGGAAAAAGGAGAAAGAAATTGAACCTCAAAGGGTCAAATACGTTTTACAGCGGAGTGTGGACAGCCGCATGCAAATGTGGTTTTCGTCTATACCCGGAGGATATGAGCACGAAATAAGAAAGGTATTGCATGCCACTCCTTGGTAAACGTTAAGGTTGGTTTTCAGGCTACTAGAGTAGTCGCGAAGTACAACCCGAAGCGACGTGGTTAATGTGGCAATATGATATATAAGCAAGAGGTATGTCGGCTCAAATAGCCCCTGGTAAAAGGGACTGCCTTGGCTCTTCTTTCGTGTTCCTGAGGACTTCTAGTAAGAGCGTAAAGCACGCTGGAAATATATGTAAGGAGCCGTTGAAAACGGGGAAGGACTTTAACGTCCAGTCACGCGTGTACATAAACACGAAAATATCGCCAGTACATACACGCAGCGTGACGACTTTTCGGCCAACCGATTACTGCCGTCTTAAATCAATCGAACGATCGAACTCTGAACGTCTTCGTATTGCTCGCTCTACAGGATGGTTCAATAATTTTAATCCTTTGAATAATTATCCGCGTTTCTTCTACGTTATTGTTCTACAGAAATCTAGCGTTAACCGAAATTTTGGAAGAAATTCATATTTTTAATTAATTTGGTTACATAGATCTGAAAGTTACTAATTTGGGAATTTGGAAACATGAACATTTTTTATTTTTATATTTCTATACTTATACGTTTCTAACTGTTAAACTTTAATAACTCTACAATTTCTGGATTTCTAAACTTTTAAATTGCTAGATTGTCAAATTATAAAACCTAACTTTCTAAGCTAAAAATTTCTAATTTAAAAATTTAATTTCTAAATTTCTGAATTCTTAAGTTGAAAATAAAGTTAAAAATTTCGTTGATAAGGAAACAAAATTATTTCAGTTTTTAAATGTCTACTAGTACAGTTTCCATTGAACATACATAAAAATTAATTGTAACAATTAAAATAAAGACAGACTATAAAAAAATGTTTTAACTTTAATTATTAACAGTATATTGTAGGAAAAAACAAAATTATGCTTTCAAACATTGAAATATTTAAAAAAGGAAATTGATAAATATAAAATAATAATAAAAGAGAAATCAATGATAAGTAACGATATTCTTTGTATTCACCTTTTACATAATAGTTATACATTATAAGAGTAACACAAAATACAATAAAACAAAAGAATCATAATGTTAATGTTAAAATATATTATAATGTATTTAATTACCAAAAACAACTGTACACTACAAATTACTCTATTAAATTAAGTCGAGAGGTACAATAAAGTAAAGTAACTAACGATACTTTAAGACATTATCCAATAATAATGAGGGAGTATGTTGCAATTGCAATTAAGAGTTTCCTCTTTTATAGCGTAGCGTGTCAATAGGATATTGGACGTTGGATGAAAGGTACTGATAAATGCTAATTGACGGTCAATGAATGGCCGGTACAGTGGCATCTTCACTTTGGAATGCCTTTCAACATATTTCTCAGGCATTTCTCTTTCTCTCTGTCTCTGAATTATACTCCTCCGATTCTAGAGTTTCTCACGAACAGTTCTAAATACTATAGAAACAACATTAATTTTGCTGTTAAGATTCGTTAATTTTTTAATTCGACGCGTGAAATATAAAATAATTTGATAAAACATTTTCAGAATTGATATACAGGGTGTTAGGTACGTCGCGTCGATAGAAAGTTTGCAAGAGATGAGAGAAGAGGTCATTTGGAACATATTTTTGTAAGAGGCAAACGAAAAATAAAAGGATTTAACTATTCACCCTTTGCAATCCTATGTTGGGTGTGATTCGGCATCACATGTCTCTTGGATGTCATAAATAATTCAGATAAATAGATTGGTTGAATATGTATATTATCATTTATTTCTTACTTGTAATAAAAGAAAAATGTAGTTGTCTCCGCCCTGTTGTAATACATTTCATTGGGAACCCGTTTCTTGATCTATTTAGTAAATTAAAGAGTCAAGTGATGAATGAAATTGAGGAACGCAAAGGGTTTAAATAATTCCAGGATTTAATAATTTTCAAAATATATGGGTAATTGGCGAAATCACAGTAAAGAAATAATGACTTATTTATAACAACTATAACAACTGTAAATTTAAGAATTTTGGAATTTTAGAATTTGGAAACTTGGAAATTCGGTTAGGTTAGGTTAATTTAAAAATTAACCTAATTTAACCTATTAACCGGTAATTTAAAAATTTGCGAATATAAAGATTTAAAATTTTAGAAGGTTAAGAATTTCTAAACTTGACAATTTTTTTATCTGAAATTGTAAACTTTTAAATATGAGAATTTGAAAATATAAAAAATCTGAAATCTGCTGTTAAAAAATTAGAAAACTGTAATATTTAGGAATATATTTATTCCACTCAGGTTGTAAAAACAAGAGAAGTATGTAAGACAAACGAATGATTACATGAATGAATAAAGCATAGAGAATAGGATGAATGACTACCTGAATGAACCAAACTGATACGAATCAAGAATGTGAATACAGCAATTTTACGTAGAAATGTACAAGTGAAAGTAAAAGTAGAGTCTGAATGAAAGCGATAGTAAACGATACAAGGTTAACATTATCTGTCTTAATTGATATTTCATAGAAAGTAACTCTCTTTTTAAATATGATATAAAATTCGAAAATACATTTGTTCTATTAATTCCCCTATGTGTTGAAATAAAAACAGATTTTCGACTTTATGAATTGTATACACACGTACACAAATCAATATTTTAACTTTGATACACTAATTTGAATTAAATTAATATAAAATATACTCATTGGTAAAATATTACTCTTTCTATAAAAACAAGAAAATTGAGGTTGTATTGAGTGTAAAAGTATCGTCAATTGTAATAAACATTTGAATAGTGTATAATTAGAATACTTTACTTATACTTATTTAGAATATTTATTTAGAATACTTCTATGAATTTGAAATAATGTTTCAGTACATAGACATCAGCTAATAGGTACAAATTCAGAAGATATATTTCATAAATTGAAAAAAAAATGTAAAAATTTCTTGAACAAATTATTACTGCAGATTAATTCTATAATATATTTCTAATATATTATTATTTTTAGTATAACTAATTAACAAAGAATCTATCTCAACAAACACAAATTTATCTAGAATATAATTCTTACATTCTAAAAATGAAGAACATAATATTCTCTATTTGCAAATATAGAATGTATTCAAATAATTATCTCAGAATTTATCTCAACCCTTAACGAATCACACTTCATCAGAATAACATACCAGGCAGTATGTTTAAATGCAGCATATCAGAATGAAGATATTATGTACTTTTATACACATTGCTTATAACGTAAATTTCAATCGTCTTGTATTGATTAAAGTAATTATACAAATTATACAAATATGTATGATGATAATGCAGACTCACCTTCGCCGCAAGCTGATATAAAATTATCCATCGTTTTAAAGAATCTGCAAGGAAAAAGAACACATGTTTACTTTTGATAAAAATCTGATTACTCGAAAAAATAGTGACAAGGCCGGTATAAAAATTTTTGAACAAATTTTTTCCAATGGTTAATAGTCAATAACACAGTTTTCTTCATGTTTTATTCAAATAATTTCTATAATCATTTTTTAGATTAGCCATTGCAGACTTATATAATCTTGGTTATAAAAACATAACATTTTCTAAGAACGTGAGTCGCATTATGTCGATTTCACATACGCAGACAATTTTCCCAAATATTTTATGTAAAAAAATGATTAAATAGAAATTGGGGGAATAAGCATTTATTAAACTTTTTTAAACTTGAGATATCTCATTAATTGTTGGTTTTGTTAACAATATAGTCGAATATTTGTTAACTATATTATTGATATTAAACATTGTTTTAAACTTGTTTCATTGTTTCATCTTTCTAACATTTTCTTTGTATGATCTCTTCGTCGCTATAATTAACCAAGCACACCTTAAAAAATAGTAATATTTGATAATTTTTTAATCTGAATATTTGCGAATTTGCAAGTTTGACAAGTTAAAATTCCTACATTTCAATACTTCTGCATTTATATCTTTCAAAATTCAAAAATTTAAAAACTTCGATTTTTAAATTTTGAAATTGACAACTTTCTAAATTCTAACATATAAAAGTTCCAAGATTTCCAAGTTTCTAACCTGCTAAATTATCAAATTTTTAAATTCCTACATTTCTACATTTCAAAACATTTAAATTTTCAAATTTTCAAATTATAAAAGTTAACAATTCTTATGTTTATAAATTTGAGAATTTAAAAGATTAGAAATTTGGTATTAGTGTTTCTAAATTTATAACTTTTTCAATTTTTCAGTTAAACCATTTCTCAATTATTAAATTATTTAATTTCTTAAATTCTCTACTTCTCTACTGTTCCACTTCTTTATTTCTAAATTCCAAAATTGCTGAATTATAAATCTAATTGTAAATTATTAAATTTCTAGATTCGTGAATTTATACATTTCTATATTTCTAAATTTCTAAATTCGTATATTTCCAACTTTTCCAATTGCCAAATTAGCAAATTAAAAACTTTCGCGTATCCCTGACACCTCGTCACTGTACATAGCAGTGGCCGGTAAGCCCTTTCACACATGTATTATGATCCTCGTAATTATGATTGATTATCCATCATAAATCGTGACATAGTATGAGCAAAGATAGATACTTCTCATGCATAAAGTGTTTAATAACAGTACAAAGAAAAGGGTGAAGCGGCATCTTTCCCTTTACTTTCACGTTATTGATAATTTCGCAGGTAACCGCAGACAGCGATCGAATTTCCATAGAACCGATAAAAAAAATAATCAGCTAAATAAATATTCAAATATGGTAACCGGTCTGGAGAGGTGACAGTGTAATAACTGCGTAATAGGCATGCAGCGGGTCCGTAGAAAACGAAGGAATATGGTAATGAAGCTTAAGAACGTGAATCGCAGTCAGGAAAGCATTAAGATATGGAAAAATTGATTGTAGTTTGAATCGTTGAAATGCTTCGTACTTACACGCATCTTTCAAATCTACATATGTGAAATTAAATTTATAACTATTGAAAAGTATTTTCATTATGGAAAATTCAACAGATACGAAACTTGTCTTAAATTACTCAAAATTCTATTTCATGTCTAGATAATCTTTTAGTTAAAATTGATTAATGTAATTAATTAGGATAAATAATTTATATTTTAAGATAATTTTTATTTATTTGCTATTTGTGAATAAACAAAATAGTAGCACTGTGTGATCAATGGAAAATTTACATAACTATAGTTCTTCACTAACGGAGTCATAGATCTCCTGGAAATTCAACTTACTTTTAGAATAACTAAAAATAATAAACCACTATTATATTATATTGTTAATGGTGCAACTGTAAGAGTGAAGTTTACCCCTACACTTGTACATTTGTATTATTAAAATCTCAATAGAATTATTTTTTAAATTTGTAGCAAGTAATTTTAGTATCGTAAAAATTAAGTATCTAACATAAAATTTTATTCATATATTTCATGTGAGATACTGAAACGAGAAATATGTGGATTTTTTAATACACTTATTTGTATTTTCATTTTGTATTCAATTTATGAGCAGATTTGCTATAATATTAATTTTGACATAACCCAATTAGGGTTAACTAAAGGAAATACCTAAGCAAGGAATACCGAACCTAAAAAAAATTTTAAAAGTTTCTAAAAGGAATCATAAAAAGGTATATAAAATCAAATAAAAGAATATCAATTGTATTTTACAATTTTATTTCCCTGATCCAACAGGACGAAAGTAACATTAATCAAAATAGTTTTTACAGTTTTTTCCGTCGCCACGGTATATGTTACTTTCGTCCTGAATGACATTTTCCAAATCAGAAGTTATAACCTACAAACTATACATGATTCATTGAAATTAACAGTAGGAACTTATAAGAATATATCTAAAAACGTTGTAACAAGTAATTGATTTAATATGCATAGTTTAATTTTGATTATTAACCCATTCGAGATCGCTTGCAAACTGTGTGTGCAATCGATTTCCGAGGTTACAAGATCGGTTGCACACCGATCAGGTGTGTAATAGTAGTAATGAGCAATTATTAGTTGTTCTGAATAATGTAGTTGTCGAGGTAAGACTTTTTTTGTATTGTGGGAATGAGAGAATGACGCTGTCAGTGACCGACTGACCGAATGTCGGTAATTGATCATCGATAATAAATGTTAATCGTCGGTAATAATATTGTAAATTCTTATAAGTTATTGACAGTTCAAGACGCTATAAAGCGAGCGGGCTTGATGTGTGTTTTTTTAAAAAGAAAGGAGCGTTATTTATTAGAAACCTTGTCGTAAAGAAGACGCATTAGAAAAATAGGCGGAAAAGTCGAAAAAGTCGTGAAAGTTTTTGTATTTATTGAAAGGTTGTAAAAGTCGTTTAATTTTAAAAGTTCTGTGTTTTGCTAAATGGTGTTAAAGTTAAGTTTTATTTTGTTAATGTTTGTGTTAAAAATTTTTTTTCTTGTTAAATAATAAAAGGAGTTTACTTTTGCACAAAACCAAATCAAAATGGTGTAAAACCATTCTTGTCATTTTAATTCCTACATTTTTAATAATACAATTTTTTTTATTAATAAAGTATCTGTTAATTACAGAAAAACAATTTGGCATCGATTTTTGTTTCATTGTTTTTTTTTTTTTTTTTTTTCTATTTTACCTCATATTACACACATGGTGTTCAATCCGCTTCTCGCAATACAAATATTCCGAGGAACGAGGTACACATTCGGTGTGCAATCATCTTATTTATGCGAATTCACTTATGAATTCGGTGATGTACACAGTAAATAAGTTGTTCTATTAAAAAAAAAATAATATGAAGATAACAAAATTTCACTCCTGGGGACCGTGTTCGAAAAAAATTGCCGTCTCGAATGGGTTAACAAGAAATTCGAAATAGCGGAAATTTACTCAAGTGATCTAAATGAACAATTCAGTTTAAACCCGCATTCATACCATGATTAAGTATTAATTAAAGAAACAAAACAAATATTATGCACATAAAACAAGCAAAAACGAATTGTCTAAAAACATTTGTGGAAACGAAAAGCCATATTACTATCATTATATCGTTCATTTTGTCACCGCTCTCTTACAGTAAACAGTGAATCAATTTGATCTAAAACGTAATTACAAATGATATCTTTTCGTAATAACCCATTCAATTATTTTCTCATTTTAAATTGTGTAGGATGTATAGCGGAAAAAAGAGGATTATGAAGAATTCGAATGTGAAACAGGGAAGAACTCCAAATTTTCGCAGTTTTAATAATAAAGCACCGCTCTTAAGAATTTATGGGGCGGAGACGTGCATCGTCATCCCCTTTACTCTGATCAGTTAAACGAAGACGTAACAGAAAAAGGAACATTCATTAATGGATTAAGCCTTCGTCGTCTACTCGATAAATTATCGCAAGGTGTTCATTCCTCCTTTCGCATTCTGTTGACATTCCAGAGACATTCCAAACGCGCCAAGCATGCTGGAACATACCTCTTACTCCTCCTTACCACCAGCCTAACGTTAATATGACTCTAATTTCTTATTCCCTTATTAAAAACACTTATACTTGAATAACAACATTTGAACTGAAGTTTTAGCGGAGAATTTCTCATTTTGCTAATAACATATCGTGGACCGATTAAGGAGGTATTAGCAGCATATCGCGATATTTTAACATATATGTAAGTGATCGTAAAACTGTAAAACCTGTTGAATCTCCACCACCTACATTATCTCTTTTCATATAAGAAACGTTACACTGTAAATAAATAAAATATTTTCAATCGTTGGTTATATTAAAATACCACCAGTCGATGACGATCATAGAATTCAAGACGTTAATAAGACTGCTTGCTGCCATAAATAAAAGCTTAAAATAATTATACTATGTCTTTATTTATAGATTTACTAACAAAGGAAACGCAAAGTAGCCTAATCAAAATCTGAAGAGTATCTTGAAGAATGCCCCGAAATCGTTTTGATCTCTCCACCGAAATGTATTTATGATGAACTGAATTCCACGAAAAGTTACCACTCGTCATTGTGTTAGAATAGGGTAGCCCAATTGTGTTACTATATAGAGGCCTAATAGGACCGCTTTAGTGCCTTCATTGCCTTTTACCTTCCCTGCAGACTCCCTACTGCACCGATTAGTCTAACACGATTATAAGCACTAACTCACTCAGTGACTTACCAACTGCTTTCCACTATCCTTCAATATCGATAGATCCATGTATGAATAGGGTTCCGTATAACCTATTATATACCCCACCACATAATGATCACTAAAAGCAAAAATGCTTCACAGTAGATGGGTAGATAATCATGTATGAAATCATAGATCACAAGTAGATGTACTTCAGTTACTTCAGAAAATGTGTTATTTAAATG